TTCAACATAAAAGAGTGGACTGAAATGCCCTTGGATACGCTACAGAAAATAGCATTAAACCGAGAAGAATGGCGAAGACTGATAGCGCGAACTGTCATAGCACCCCCACGACGAAAGTCAAGGGACTGATGATGATGATGATGATGATGATGATGATACATTCTTCTGATAAATGCTCAGACTATAATTCATCCCAACCACAATCGGTGAAGATTGGTTTACTTGGATGCGTATATATATGTAGTCGGTTCATAAGCTTAACTAGTGAGTAAGTCTGAAGATATAAATAATGAAATCAAACAGATAGATAAAATACTACTATTGGATGAACACTCACCAGAATTTATCCAGCAATGAATAAAGTACCATAGACAAGTTAAGAATAGTAGTGAAAGTGACAAAAATAACGAAGAAATAAATATAGAATTCAAATGTTGGTTTGTAGGGATTTTCTTTGATCGGTTAGAGGATTTCATCATGAGCTGACATCGGTTTAAGAACCACTGGAAACCCTTGGAGTAGTGGACAGCTGTTTCGTCACCCTAGTTTGGGACTCTTCAGCAATGAACACCCACGCTAGGGTGAGAACCCAGGAACTTCTAGTTACAAGGCGAACTCGTAGACCATTAAGCCACGGGGACTTGATCCAGTGTCCCATGAAATCCAACTTCTGACATTAGGGTGCAGCAGGTCGGGTGTGAGGACAAATACTCGCTGAAGACGTTGGCTAGCGGTCGAGCTATGTCGTGAATTGGAGGAAGTTGGAATTCATGGGCTGGCCATCGGATCAGGTCCCAGTGGCTTAATGGTCTACAAGCTAGCTGGCCTTGTAACCAGAAGGTCCTGAGTTCTACCTCGGTGGGTGCTTACTACTGAAGATTCCCAACCTATGACGAAACAGCTGTCCAGTACTTCGGGTTCTCCAATGATTCTCTAACCGATAGGGATCAGTTAGAATATCGGAACATAAAAATTTAGCTATATACCTAGAATGATTGACCCTGCCAAGTTAAATAACCTAGAATAAAGCTCAGCCATTTCACTAGATTCACTTGCATGTTTTCACCAAATAAGGTGAGTCGGACAATGGGGGATTATTGAAAATTAATGGAGTCGGGTGGAAAAAGAGAGAGATTATTCAATGAAACTTCGTTTATTGATTCAACACTGCACACATGCAATCGGAATGATGCAACGCCTATAACCGAACATGAAAAGTGACAGCAAAAAACAAGAAGTGGGATATATATATATATATGACAAATCGTGAGGCTGTGTGACTGAATTGGCATGATTATAAGTGGCGCTAATTTATGCTCGAAAACTTGTCATCTAGTTTTTTATTAACGCTGCATCATCACTGTGTGACATTTGAAATCATCTCTTATTTTGGTCTCCGTGGTCTCTGTTGTTATTTTGACCTTCAATATGTACTTATATCTTGGTCTTACTAGTTTATTTTCCCACCTCTTAACTCTTTAGTAATTTTAAAAATATATTCCTACGACAAGTCCGTGTGTGTGATCAGATTGTTCGAAATGTGCCTTACGCAAGTACAACAATACACGATTCAGACAAATCACGTCTTCTTATTGCTTTGTCTGAATTCATAAAAGGAAATTAATTGTTTTAAAAATTATTAATAGAATCAATATATATATATCTACTTTAACAGGAGTTAAACAAGAGTGTTAATGTTACACAATATGATAACTAATTAAATAAATGTATAAGTTGAGACAGGATGAGGGCATAGACATGACAGGAAGTGTAGTATTACGTAAGAGCTCGAAAGAAATGAAAAACTTACAAGGATATAAAAAAAGTCGAGTCTGAAGAAAACAATAAGCTCGTCCTTATAATAGCAGAAGTGATTTATTATTTCCCCCCATTATATAAAGTACTCTGGTTTTTCTACCTGTATGACTAGACATTCATTAATGTAGAGAAGAAAGAGACGTATTGTCTGTCTCTAAAAAGTTGGCCTTCACTTCGAAAAGTACTTTCAAGGGGAGAGGGGGAATTCATTCAGTTAGAATGACCAGTATCGATAAGGTTTTCAATAATCAAATTAACCAGGACGGTAGACTGATCGGTTTATTGGGATTTAATTAGCGAATTCCTGTCTTTTATTCTCTTTGAATGTACTGTCATTTTGTAACGATTATACGAAGATTACTTGACTTTGGACAAGACTAATATACACGGGAATTCATTTTCTCCTGTTTCATAACAAGAGAAGAGAGACATTTTAAAATGCCGACACAAGTAGATTATTAAAACAAGACGAATGCTGACAGATATCACCTGGAAAACCAATTAAAACCAGGGAGTAGTGAACAACCTCTGTTACAACCAAAACTGACTCGTTGCGGTCTAACCTCAGGACAACAACCTCCGCATCCTACTGTTTAGCTGCAAAACGCACAGTCACAGAATGTCGACAACACAATAAGAAGATGTAGTTTGTCTGAAATGTGCAACGTATTGGCGCAACACATTTAGGACATTCTGATCACACACGTACTTGTCATACACAGTTTTTATATAATGGAAGAAGGCATGAATAATTACAATACAGGTCTGATTGTATACAGGTGAAGGTCACAAATAATGGGTAGGGAGACATAAAAGGTGTGGGTAATAAAGATAAAAGGACAAAAACAAGATAAAGAAGGGGTTGAAAATATTATGAAGTAAATTGGTCCTTGGTTCTAAATTGGATTACCAAGGCAGGTTTAAGGTGATAACAAATAACTTTTGGACACATAAGACAGGTTTAAGTCTTTTTACGGCTAAGGCGTCAATGAATTTAAGTATATGGCCCAAACTTGTTTTATATATGGGCTTAAAGGCATCGTTGAAATCAAACTTATGACCCGTTTTTATAATGTGCTTCGCTATATATGATGCTGGACATCTATTTTCGGGTTCACTTGTGTCTGGCGATTTCATTTGTTGTTGCAGACACTTCGGAATGTGTTCTGTAGCCACAACCTGAAGAGACCGATGGGTCCTCCCTATGTACATGTCTCCACACATACATATAAATTGATAAACATAGTGGGATGTGACACTATCGGTCGGGTAATGTGAGGGTTTTACAGGACAGCATAGTTCTCGTTTTCTCTATCAAGATAAGTTTAGCTGCATAATAAGTTCTATTAATTGCGGCCTTGAGTCTTTGTCTAGTGACCAGACTTTGTTGATCACCCCTCTGAACGGCAAGGATATGTAAACATCCTTTTTGGGAGCTGATTGGATTGGTAGAGCTCTATGGTTGACACTTCCGTAACGTCTAATAAATCTCAGTGGATAATTGTTATCTAACAATATTTCAGTGAGGTGTTGTCTTTCTTCTTCAACTGTATCGGGCAGTACATATACGGTGAATGCGCTTGAACAAACATTTAACCAACGTCTTCTTATACTGTAGTGGACAGAAACTATGACAAGTTAGGTACTCTCGCGTCCATGTGGACCTTCTGTAGACAGATCGTTTTACTGACCCATCTTCTCGGCGGGTTGTTAATACATCTAAAAATGGCAGGAATCCAATATTCTCTTTAACGTATGTTAGTGATTTACTGTCTTGTGCTCTGTTGATCCAGTTCAGGATTTCTATGGCGTCTGTCGGTTTATCACAAATGACTATAATGTCACAGAATGCTCCAAAGATAACAAAAGAAACGATAATCTGCGGATAGATCTATATGCAGTTCTATTCAACAGTATTAACATTTAAAAAAAAAATCAAGATTACCTCAACAATACAGTTAGGCAGCTGTACAGCTGCATACACTCTTAGAATCAAGCGGAATATTTCCAACAAGATCGGTTCAAAAGCTCTGTCCACAAGAACCAAATAACATACATTGTCGAAGACAGTCCACTGATGAAAATCACCTTGATTCACTGAAACAAAATCCCAGTCATGAAACAACACCTTATCAGTCTCTCACAACCAAAAAGAGAAGCATTCAAATTTAGAGATTATGCAGAGAAAATGACAAATAATAGGAGTCATTTGTGAAAAATTATATTTGTAAAATCTCAGCGAGATTGAAATGAGTAATTCCAACGTTTCCTGTGTTCGGCAATCTAGGTCCGAACTTCTTCATGGAAATTCATTGAAATTAACATAACAGAGGTTTGTATATAAAAGGAACATCACTTGTTTTTAAAAACTTTGTCATGAAACAAGTATCAACAAGTATAATAAACAAAATTGTATGAGCTGTGATCAAAA